GCTGAGGCAAGATCACTTGAGCCCAAGAGTTTGAAGTTGCTGTGAGCTATGACGCCAGGGCACTCTACCAAGGGCAACAAAGTGAGACTCTGTCTAAATAAATAAATACATAAATAAATAAAAATTAGCTGGACAGGTCTGGCACAGTGGCCCACACTTGTAATCCTAGCATTCTGGGAGGCGAAGGTGGGTGGATCACCTGCACTCAAGAGCTCAAGATCAGCCTGAGCAAAGCGAGACCCCATCTCTACTAAAAATAGAAAAACTAGCTGGATGTTGTGGCCCATACCTGTAGTCTCAGCTTCTCGGAAGTCTGAGGCAAAAGGATTGCTTGAATCCAAATGTTCTGAGGTTCTTGTGAGCTATAATGACAACATGGCACTCTACCCAAGGCAACACAGTGAGACTCTGTCTCAAAAAATAAAATTAAATAAATAAAAATTAGCTGGGCCTCATGGTGGATACCTGTAGTCCCAGCAACTCAAGAGACTGAGGCAGGAGGATCACCTGAACCCAGGAGTTTGAGGTTGCTGTGATGGCATGGCACTCTAGCCTGGACAAAAGAGTGAGACTCTGTCAGGGAAAAAAAGAAAAAAAAGAAAGGAAGAAGGAAAGAAAAAGTTACCAGGCCCCTTAAATTACTAAACAACTTTTGAAAAAAATTGTTCAGATCACTCCAAGATTTAACCCAGTTGCTCTGGATGGCTGGGATAAGTTCTTCAAGGGAGCCCCTTCTGGCTAGTGAACACATCACCATACATAACTGGGCTTTCAAGTGTGAAAAACTTAACAGTTTGCAGTTATCGTCACCTTTACATGAGGAAGATCCAGCTTAATGAGGGGATGTAACCAACACCCTAAATTAAAAATAGCAGCACAACAGCATGAGGTGGACACACAGGCAAGCCTTCTGGCCTTGGAGCATCAGAGAGGTGGGGCTCTTGGTCCCCAAAGCACAGAAGACTGTGGTGACCAGGTACCAAGTCCATCTTATTTACATGACTCATGATCTTTTCCCTAGCTGTTTCTAGGAAAGCCTGAAGGACAAGGCAGCATCGGCCAGGGTAAATGACTCAAGGCTAGAATCCCACCAAGAAGGGGAGGCTCAGACTGGTCACCAGGCAGCTGGTACTGCCACCACCACCACCTCCTCCTCCTCCTCCTCCTTACCTGCAGAGGCGCCCTAGTCTCATCTTAGGTAATCATTTTGACAAGGTGATAACTTGCTCTTCCAAAAAAAGATGAAATCTCCATTCTATGAAAGGGAAAACTGAGACACCAAGACAGGAAGGAAACTGCCCAAAGAAATAGGAAGAAGCATGGGAGGGGTGGGCACGAGGAGAGCTATGGAAACCAAACAGGGAAAGAAATTCCCAGCTTCAGCTAATGGTGCTGAACAAGTCCAGGGCAGGAAGAAAGCCACATTCCTTCCTAGTTAGTCTCTCTCACCCGCCTGTGGTTACCCCCCCCCCATCCCCAGTATACACAAACACACACATGCAGAGAGTGGGGCCACCTCAGCCTCAGACCAGACGCACCCCCATCTCCTGCCACCTTTTAACTACGAAGTCCCCACTTTCCAGAAAAAGTTAAAACATTCCCAAACCACTTCCCCTCAGGACCAGACAACTGGCATCTGCAACTTCCGTCCCAGCACAAGAGAGAGGGTGCCATGACACAAACAGAAATGGGAAGAGGCAGGTTTCTGACCATGGCCCCAGATGCTCCAAAATCAAGCCGGAAAGAAGGTGCACAGCAGCCTCCCCTCCCCCTGCCCAGCCAGGTGTCAGAACTGAAATGCCTCAAACTTCCCCCAGATGGCCCTAAATTGGCCCAGGTGTGGTGGCCAAAGCTTCCTCCCAGGTGCCCACTATGGCCAGAGATCCCCCATATGTGCCTTTAGGAAAACATCACAGTCCCCCCCCCCCCCCCCCCTCCCTCACTTTCCAAAGGTGTTCACTGAGACTAGGTCACCTGGAGGAGGGGGAGAAGAGAGCTGGGGACAAGCTGTCAGTTTCTGCCCAACTTCCCCTTCCGAGAATCAAGAGTGAGCCCAACCTGAGGGGCGTCATTGGAGAGCATAGAAGTCGGCCCCCAGTTGTCAGATATAGCCTCCCACCCGGACGAAATAGGCCCCTACAGATGTCCCAACAGCAGTGCCAAGCGCCTAAACAGAAAAGCTTCTTTCAAGGAGGGCGAAACTGTCACCTCCACAAACTGGCCTTCCAGGGACCCAGAAGGAGAAACCCCAAACTTACCCCCTCCATCGTGCCCGAACAGCGCTGCCCACCACCACTAACCCCCCCCCTACACACACACACACTCCCCCATCACCAGGTGCTCACACCAGTTCCTACCCAGGTGCTCAATGGGCCAAAAAGCCCGGACGTCTGCAGATGCCGGCACTGACGCCCTCCCTGGCCAGGGGCGCGAGTATGGGCCCCTCTGGAGCCCTGAGCCGCCCGCCTGTGCTGCCTCCGGATGCAGAAAAGGAAGGTGGTTCCCCACACTCCGGACAGGACGACTGCCCACCCCGCGCCCCGCCAGCTTAGGGACTCGAGAGCAACAACCGAACCCCGCGCCCCCGGGCGCCACGACGAGGGGTCGCGAGGCCAGCCCGCGTCCCGACGACCGCACTGGGCCCCGCGCCGCTCACCTGGTTGGCACGGTAGTTCTCGAAAGCCCTCAGGGCACTGTCGGTGAGCTTCACGTGGAATACAGACACCTTGCTGCCGTCGCTCACCCGCCCGCACGACAGTCCGTAGCTCCGAGCCTCCTTCAGCGCCGCCATCTTGCGACCATCGCTCCCCTGCCCCCCCTTCCCGGCTCCAGCGCCGGCGCGCCAGCCACGCCACGCCCCTCCGACTGATGACGTGCTGCATTATTCATGAGACGCTGGTGACTACGCCCCCTGAGAATTCCACGATGCCCACAGTGGTCTGCACAAAGCTTGCCGACGTGCTACGTTATTCGTGAGATGAGAGTGGTCACGCCCCCAGAGGGCCCACCTAGGAGCACCATATATGCCCCAATATTCTACATAAGGCACAGATGGCCCCACCTCTCCAGACCCTAGAGGCGGCCACTTCCGTGTGCGAACTCCGCCCCGACACGCGCACCTTTCCAGGCCCCGCCTCTATATGTATTATACATGACCCTGACTCAGCCGGGCACGTCGAAGCCCCGCCCACCGGCCGCTGACGTGATGCATTACATTATTTATGAGATCTCTGGTGCCTTCCATCTTTGGCTTCTGTTGAGAGCCGCAGTGAGCTCCAGGAGCTGGCGGGGCCGGCGCAAAACACGTAGGAGCTGGGATCTCAGCTGGCCGAGTTGGTGGGCGTGGCTATGTAAACGATGCGTGCTTTGGACGCTGGGTTAGGCGGACCCAGCTTCCCTTAAGGTGAGCGATGGAGAAGCGGTTGAGGGAGGAGCCCGTAAACTTTACTTATGGTATGAGTTGGACCTTTAACAGAATAAAATCACACATGCCCATAGACCCTGAGCGATGATGGAATCCAGCTCCATTTTCTATAAAACAACTTTTTGCGTTATAATTTCCATGTAAAATGAGTCTATTTAATTTGTACTATTCAATGGCATTTACTAATGCTATGCACTATTTCCAAAACATTCTCATCACCCTTGAAGGAGATCCAGTTCCATTAGAAGTTACTCCCTATTCCCCTTCTCCATCCCCTGAGAACCACTAATCTGCTTCTTGTCTCTAGGGATTTGCCTAATCTGGATATTACATATAAATGGGATCATACACCATGTAGCCTTTTGTGTCTGGCTTTTTCTACTCAGTATAATTTTCTTTTGGGTATTGGGGTTTTGGGGGGCAGGAGTGAGGGCGTGGGGATTGAGATAGAATCACACTCTATTTCCCCAAGCTAGAGGGCCCTGGCCTAACTCACAGCAACCTCAAACTTACAGGCTCAAGTGATCTCTTGCCATAGCCCTTCCACCCCCACCACCCTACCTGTAGCTGAGAATACAGGCGCGTGTCACCATGCCTGGGTAGTTTTTCTATTTTTAGTAGAAACGAGGGTCTTGCTCTTGCTCAGACTGGTTTCCAACTCCTGAGCTCAGGCAACCCACCCACTTCAGACTCCCAGAGTGCTAGGATTACAGGCCTGAGCCACCAGCTGGCCCAGTATGTTTTCTTTTCTTTTTCTTTTTCTGAGGCAGAGTCTCACTTTGTTGCCCTGGCTCAAAGCTCACAGCAACCTCAAACTCCTGGGCTCAAGCAAAATCTCTTGCGTCAGCCTCCTGAGTCGCTGGGATTTATAGGCCTGTGCCACAACACCAAGCTACGCTTAGAGACAGGGTCTCACTGTTGCTCAGGCTGCTCTGGAACTCCTGCACTTAGACAATCCACCCACCTTGGTCTCCCAGAGTGCTAGGATTATAGGTGTGAACCACCAGCCTGCCACTTGCCAGCCCTGCCCAGTGTGTTTTCAAAGTTCATCAAAGTTGTTAACATGTTACTAATGCTGTATTCCTTTCAGGCATCCTCAAACTACAGCCCGTGAGTCACATTATCCACCTCGCTGGTGTTTTTGCCGCTGCTGCCTGTCCTGCTTAGCAGCCAACTTGTCCTAGGACCCACAGTCCAGCCCTCCAACAGTCTGAGGGACAGTGAACTTGCCCCCTGTTTAAAAAGTTTGAGGACCCCTGCTTTATTTTATTTTTTTTTTTTTTGAAACAGAACCTCAAGCTGTCCCCCTGGGCAGAGTGCCATGGCATTACAGCTCACAGCAACCTCCAAGTCCTGAGCTCAAGCGAGTCTCCTGCCTCCGCCTCCCAAGTAGCTGGGACCACGGGCGCCCGCCACAACGCCCGGCCATTTCTTGGTTGCAGCCGTCATTGTTGTTTGGCGGGTCTGGGCTGGGGATTCAAACCCTCCACCCTAGGTGTACGTGGCTGGCGCCTTAGCTGGTTGAGCCACAGGCACCGAGCCAGGACCCCTGCTTTAGATGGCTGAATAATATTCCATTATATATATGTAATACCAGTTTGTTTATCCAATTATCTTTTGATGGACATTTGGGTTGCTTCCACTTTTTCACTATTATGAATTAGTAACTCTGCGAACATTCCTGAATAATACAAGTTTATGTGTGGATGGACGTTTTCTCTTCTATTGGATAAACAGCAGATCCTCAGATAATGTTTAATTATAATGCTGATGTGGGAAAAAAGTCAGTTGCTGCCCAGGGCCACTGCCTGTGTGGAGTTGACATGTTCTTCCCATGACTGCGTGGGTTTTTTTCCCGATACTCTGGTTTCTTCCCACATCCCAAAGATGTGCATGTTAGGTTAAGTGGTTGTGTCTAAATGATCCCACTGTGAGTGACTGACTGTGAGTGGTTCCTGCCTTCTACTCTGAACAACCCGGATAGGTTTGGGTCACCCTCAACCCTAAACTGTAATCAGAGTGAATAATTATCTTCTTCTGTTTTTCGTTGTTGCTGCAATTGTCATTGCAGTTTAGCTGGCCCAGGCAGGGATACAACCTGCCACCCTTGGTGCATGTAGCTGCCACCTTAACTACTGTGCTATAGGCACCACCGATCTTTTTGTTTAATCTTTTGTTGTTGTTGTTATTGTCATTATTTAGCAGGCCCAGGCCAGATTCAAACCCACCAGCCCCAGTGTATGTGGCTGGCGCCCTAACCATTGAGCTGAACCTTTTTTTTTTTTTTTAATTTTTGAGACAGAGTCTTACTTTGTCGCCCTTGGTGGAGTGCTGTGACATCATGGCTCACAGCAAACTCAAACTCTTGGGCTCAAGCAATTCTTGTGCCTCAGCCTCCCAAGTAGCTGGGACTACAAGCGCCCGACACAATGCCCAGCTGTTTTTAGAGACAAGGTCTCCTGGCTCAAGCTGGTCTCAAACCTGTGAGCTCAGGCAGTCCACCCACCTCGGCCTCCGAGAGTGCTAGGATTATAGGCATGAGCCACCAAGTCCAGCCCTTATCTTCTTTTTATAAATATTTCTTAAATGTATGTATTGTTCTCATTTATTTCATATTTAATGGTAGAGCTGGGAATGGTTATACGTTGTTTCATTTAAAGTTTGGTTTCTGGGCTCGGCGCCTATAGCTCAACCGGCTAAGGCGCCAGCCACATACACCTAAGGTGGCGGGTTCGAATCCCCAGCCC